ACTAAAAGGAAGTAGGGAAGGAATTATAATAGGACAATTGTAGACTGCCAAAAGTTTTGATATTTTAAGCTGCAAGTAGCAGATTTGTCAACTAAATGGCTTATTTAGGATAAACAATAAGTTCATTTATTATCCAACAGAACAAAATTTTAAGAGGTAAGGGGTCCCAGGTGTCCTTCAGTCACTTTATGATTTTAAGGACCCAGGGTCTTTCCATCTTTCTACCTTCATGTCTGTATTCATGCCCTTCACCAGCCTCAGCTTTGGTCCCTACGCTTGTCATCTTATGGTCACAAGACGGCCACCAAAGTTCCACACATGATATGGGGACACAAAAACATCTGGCCAAAGAAGAGAGGGGCTACATCCTATACACCTCTCTTTATTTGGGAAAAAACCCCTTGCTGGAAGTCCCCCCTCTCCCACCAGGCCTCCTCCTGGCCCACGTGTCTTTGCGTTAGCTGCCGAGGAAGCTGGAAAAGTGAGGATCTGGCATTTTTGACCTGTACAGACAGAGACCTGCTCTAGAAGCAAGGAGGAAGGGAGCTAGGCATAGCCACTGGGGAGGCATCCACAAGTACCTGATGCACTGTGTGATGCAGCAACAAGCATCATTTCTTTAAGGTTCAGATTCATCATCCTCAAAATGAGGATGATTAGTTTTACTGTGATAATTGCTTATTAAGACTAAATATTAAGATGTTGCTCATGAGGGTGTCTGGGGGATGGCAGACACTCTTCGTATGCTTGTTTTCCTTCCCTCATCGGGGACCCTGTTTGAAACACTGAAGAAAGGCCCTTTCGTCCAAGGGTTGCTATGACACCAACCCTCAGCTCTGCAGCCCCTGCATTCCATTCACACACAGGGCAAGCCACCTTTTCAGGAATCAGACCCTTTGTGTGGACACAATGTGGTTTCCAGCACCTTTCATCAGCCCAGACCACTCAGAGCTCACCCAGAACCAATTCTATTTACAATGCCCAGCTTCCCAGGTTTGTGGCTTCATTATCATAATTGTTAGTGGCCACATAGCCATCTCCATGGTTACCAAATCTGTCTGAACCCCTCCTTTGGAAAATCCACTGTGCAAACATATTTACAAGTCCCAGGCTCGCTGTGGTCAGACTGGTTCTGGCTTCTGCTGTAGGAAAACCTAGTTTAAAACTTTTCAATGGCTCCCCATTGTGCTTAGGATTAAAGACCCACGAGGTCCTGCGTGGGACCCTTCTGTCCCTCTTCTAGGCTCATCTCCTGTCAAGCTCGCATTTGCTCTCTGATCTTCAAACACATTTGCCTTCTCACAGTCTCTCATTCTTACCAGGCTCCCTCTTGTGATAGGGCCTTTGCACCTGCTGTTTCCCATAACAGAAGTGCTCTGCCCTCCCTTTGTTGCCTAAACCCATCCAGGCATCTTTGTGTGCTCAGCTCAAATGTCACTTCCTCAGGGAGGCCCTCCCTGACTTCTCAGAGGAGAGAAAACCCAACTTTGATGAGTTCTGATGTCCCTTTTTGGCATTATCACAGACTTCCCTTTTTTGTTGGTTTGTATGACCATTTAAGTAGTGGCAGGATTTAGTTCCTCACTGGCTGTTCCTGGAGGCCACCCTCAGTTCTTGCCATTTGGACCTCTCCATTGGGGAGCTCACAATGTGGCAGGTGGCTTCATCAGAGAGGGTGAGTGACAGATCAGAAGAGGGTGAGCAAGATGGAAATCACCATCTTTTACAACCTAAACTCTGAGATGACATCCATCACTTTTGCTGTATTAGAAATGGAGCTAGTCGGCCCTGCCCACCTTCACGGGAAGCCATTTTTGAAGATGCTTACTGAAAGGACCCATTAGATCATTTCCTTTCTCACTTGCGCCAACAAATGAAGAGGGATTCTCCATTCTCTAGGAGAGACAGAGCCCGGCAGCAAGCCTACACACATCCTCATGACTTTAATGTGAGCCACAGAGATCAAAGAACATCTAGGGACTTTGTGCCCTTTCTATCATATAAATTCTATAGGTTATCTCACTGGAATGGAACAGTCCAGGCCTTGCTGTACTAGGCCCCTATGTCACCAATCTATCATAGCCACTAACTCAGGAGACCAAGGGGTGAGCATTGCCCCGGTCCGCTGTTCCAACCCGAGGATCCTGTAGGGGCTGGACAGATGGGAAGCATAGCTCCTGCCTGCGTCTGCCAACACTATTGTCAAACAAATGCAGATTAACTCATCGCAAGAGAAGCCAATAACTCAAGAGGTGAGGGTTTGGGAAAGAGAAAGGGAGAAATTTATTTGGGGTGCAGGCAGCGGGGGAGGTGGTAGGCTCAAACCTTAACAACTGACCTTTCCTCCCACAAGGTAGACACCTAGGGTTTTATAAGGAGAGGTTCAGGGGGCTACCGCAAGACACCTGGCAGGGAGCATGTGATCCTGAGTGGGGGTCGGTATGTGTTCAGCACATGGTCCCAGGCAGAGAAGGGGATGTGGTCTTCTAGGCATTCCTTGGCTATCCGGGCTTTTCTGACCTGGCGAATGGAATGTTCCGATCATTGCAAAACATCTTCATCAACGCAGGAAAGTGCCATAAGAAATAAGGACAATGGGTTTCAGTTACAGCATGAGTGAAGGGGTCTTGTCTATTTCTGGCTTTAAGTGTTGGGGTCTATAGTTGAGCAAGAGGGCTCACTGACAGCCAGGTGACAATTCTAGGTACTCACAGATGAAGGAGGAATTGTCATGTGACAACGGCCACGAGGCCTCCTTGGGCTCTTCTCCATCCTGGAAAGGCAATAGAGTGTGATGGAGAAGAGCCTGATTTCCTCCTAAGTGGGCTTGACTCCCTGCTCAGCTACGTACTGGTGTGTGCCTTTGAGCGCTACAGATCTTACTTACTGTGCAAGCAACTTTCCCTTTGTCTCAGTTTCCTCATCCATGAAATGGGAGCAAATGGCCATAGTTACTATTTCATTAAGCAGTTGTGAGGGTTAACAGTGAGATAATACATGCAAAGTACTTAAAGTGTATAATTATCACTTAATAGTTTAGTCTATCGTTCCTATTATTATTGGTGCCTAACAATTCACTCCAGAACTTTGCACCTGAAAAGCATCCGTTTACTATACTCCTGGAATTTGTGGGTCAGGAATCCAGACTGGAAACAGAAGGGAAGCCTTGTCTCTGCTCCCGTGTCCGGAGCCTCAGCTGGAAAGATTTGACGGCTAGGAGCTGCAGTCATCTGAAGGCGTGTTCTGGAAACAGTGCTGGACGACTTCAAGGCGAGGACCACCCACTGGCGTGTCCACACGTGGCCTCTCTGTACCTTGGGCCTCTTCACAGCATGGCAGCATCCGGGTAGTTGGACTTCTTAGTGGCTCAGTGCTTCCGGTGCCAGTGTCCCAGTGCCCCAGCTTCCGAAGTCACGCAGTGCCAACTCTGTGCCCCCTACGGGTCGAAGCCGTCACAAGCCCACTTAGATTTCAAAGTAGGGAACAAAGAATTTTGGAGCCCCGTTTTCAAACTGCCCAACTGGGGATCTGGGTGTGTTGTTGTCAGAACTGTACAAGGGTCGCCTGGCTCAGAAGTTCTTGTCAGTGCTTCTTCTTTGCCGAGAGGGCTGTGTGTGCCTGTGGCACACGATCCCCGCTGGGTGAGAGCACGGCTGACAATGCCCCTGAACCAGTGCGTCCGTGCGAACATGCCGTGAGAGGCTGGACAAGCCTGTGGCCATGTGAGTGCTGAGCTTATACGTGCATTTGTGCCCAAGAAGGAGAATTAGTGGGGTGTCCCCAGCCCGGTTCCTTTCTAGAACTCATATATGGAATTGCCCACCTATGTCCACACAGATGCCTAATGAGAACTTAACTGTCACACAGCCAGAACGGAGCTGTGCCCCAAGCCGCTCCTCTCCCAGTGGGTAAGTCTTTCTTGAGTCTATCTGCCATCGGACCTACTTTCCTCCACCCCCACTGTTATCCCCTTCGTCAACCTCTCTCTCACCTCCACACAGCCTCCTCCCCTTGGGTCCCCCTATTTCTGCCCTTGCTCCCTATAACCTACTAGAACTCTCCAATTATTTCTTGTGTCCGTGGGAATAAGATCCACATTCCCTACCCTGGCCTCCCAAAGCCTTGCCAACCCCTTCCTCCAGTCTCCCTGCCAAACCCTGTGCTCCAGACACTGTGGCTTTGCTTCCATTGTTCCTTACACTCCGTAAGCTCCTTTCACCACTGTGCCACATGGCCTTTGCCTTTGCTCTTCCCTTTGCCTGGAACCTCAGGCCTGAGCTCAGTTATCCCTCCGGAGAGCAAGCAGCCTTTCCAGACACACAGCTGCAGCAACCACCTGTGCCTGCACACCCCAGCACCCTGGTTTTCTTCTCTGCCCAGCCTTCACCCCTGCCGGTGTGTCTCTGGCTCCTTCAGTCATATGTTTCTCTGCTTCCCCCACTAGGATGCAAACTCCACAAGAACAACAAAGAATCTGTCTTGTTCTTCCAGCCCATCACCTAAGCCTAGCCCAGTGCCCGTGGGTACTTGGGAGGTGTCCCAACCCAGGTTGTCCAATGAATGGACAGTAATCCAGGGGCGAGGGTCTGGGTGGCTGAACCGGGTATATGAGCGTCCCGGTAGGTCAGTGTAGATGCATGAGTGTGTGTGTGTGTGTGTGTGTGTGTGTGTGTGTGTGTGTGTGTACACACAGGCTGGAGAGGCCAGTCTAGTAGTGTGGACTGCAGTGATTGAGGGTGCTCCTTCCCGTGGGGAGCACAGGAGAGGGCAGCGTGTGGGGGTCCCCCACAACAGGGATGACAGTGGGCGGGGGGTGGGGGCCAACAGGAGGAGAGTGGGTGGGGACCGGCATCCAGGCCCCGGGCGGTCCCTGGAGCCCCTCGGTCCCGCCTCCAGGCACAGGGGGGCCGGGGCTGGACGACGTGGCTGCCGGCGCTGCGGGCAGGCGGGCTGGGAGGAGGGACGGAGGCGGGAGGCGGGCCGGAAAGTTTGTCGGGCGGCCGAGGCTGGGGCTCCGGCGGGGGATGCGCGCCGGCCCGAGCGCCCCCAGCCTCCACGGGAGTCGTGCTCGCCATGGGTGAGTGGAGATCGGGCGCTGCCCGCGGGGGCGCCCCTGAGACCCCAGCCGCGCGCGCCCCGCGCCCCCATACGACCCAGTCGGGTGGGGACAGCAGGCTCTGCTGGGAGCTGGGAGGGGACGCGAGCGCACTTCCTTCCCTGCTTCTTTCTGCCCAGAAAAAAGTGAGCCGCTAGTGCTTTTTACTTGATAGCGCGAACTCCGGGCAGGCCCTGTCCTGACCGCTTCAAGCCTTACACCTCCCCGCGCAGGGGAAACTCCTCCTAGTCGGCAGATAAAGAAATGGAGGCTCCGAAAGGAGCAACTTGGTGAATCCCTTTGCTGAACACTTCTGTTCAGGAGGCCTCAGGAGGCTGCCATGAACAACAGAGACAAAACCTTCGCTTTGGAGGTATTCCATGAGAGGAGGCCGGAGATTAGAATCCAGAACTGGGAGAGGTGGGGGTGGGAGGAGAATAGGGAATTGCTTTGTTGCTACAGGGAACTGGGATTTCCATTTCTCTCTCTGGATCCAGAGCCTCACTCAGTCATTCAGTCATTCATCCCTCTACTGTGTGGCAGGGGCTGGGGACTCAGCCGTGAGCAAAGCAGACAACAATCCTCTCTTCCATGGAGCTGACATTCCAGTAGAGAAGCTGGAACGGAGTAAATGAATAAAATAATCTCCGAGGACGATAAGATGCTATGGAACACACAAAAAAATGAGGTGGTGTGAACTGCTGAGGGAAGTGGCTTCTTTAGATAGGTAGGTACTGAAGGCCTCCCAGGGTAGGAGGCACTGCAGCCGAGATATCACTCAGAAGGAGTGGGTGTGCTAAGACCTGGAAAAAGAGCTACAAGCAGGCGGGCAGGGATACCATGTGCAAAGGCCATGAGGCACCAGTGGGTTGGTGTCAGGCCAGTGTGGCTAGAGCACAGTGGGCAAGGGGAAAAGATGGGGAGGGAGGTCAGAGAGTTAGGCAGGGGCTAGACTGTGTAGAACTTTGTAGGCCATGGCGAGAAGTTTAGGTTTTATTCCAAATAAAGCTGGAGAAGAGGTTTAAGCTGGGGTGGGACGTGACCTGAATTGTGTTTTAAAACTCCCTCTGGATTATGCTGTGGAGAATCATAATAGCTAACAGTGGCTATAAGGTAGGGATATTACTATTATCCGCATTTGTAGATGGGGAAGCTCAGAGAGGTTAATGAGCTGCCTAAGGACACACAGCTATGGAGTAGAAGAGCTGGGCTAGAACCCCAGCACTCTGGCTTCAGCCTGCATTCCCAACGACTGTACCACCCTGCCTCTCATGCACAGTTATGGCACGACTGGTCGCCAACTCCAGGTCTGACTCCAGAGTCCATGCTCTCAACCCCCAAGGCACACTGCCCCGGAGCCTGAGGGAAACACAGACCCAGAGAGGTCCTCCCAAGGACACTCACCTTGACCCTGGTCCCTTGCACCTGCCTTTCCGATCCCTTTGCTGCCTCCTAAGTTAATTCAACAGCTCTTGACCGAGCATCTCAGGAGGACAGATGTGGGGCTGGGTGGAAGCAGGGGAAGGGGGGCTCTGTCCTCCCCACCATCCCAGGCTGCTTTCCCGGGCTTGGGCCCTGGGTATAGACCTGGATTCCAGCCACCATCCTCCCACTTCCAGGTGCATCGTCTAGTCTACTTCTCCGACCCTCCGCTTCCTCATCTATGAAATGACCCCCATCAAAGGCGCTTATCACAAGGCGGCCGTGAGAAAATGAACGAAAAGGGCTCAGCTCACCACCTGCACGTGGTAAATGGTCCCTTCATGTGAGCTTTTCTTTTTTACCACACCCAGTGTTGGGACTCTGGAGTCAGTCCAGTCTCTGCTCTGTCACGTGCCAACTCTCACCTTGGGCAAGGTCTTCACCTGTCTGTGCCTCAGTTACGTCATCTGTAAAATGGGAATGACAGCCATGCCTGGGTCATAGGTTTGCTGTAGGGATTGAGTCAGCTGGAGCAGCTAGGGCTTCCAGGAGAGGAGGTACGCCTGGCTGTGGTGAGTGCTCCATATTAGCCGTGTTGGGGCGTTGGGAAACCAGCCCTCTGGGTGAGGATAGTTGCATAGTTCAGTGTCGCTCAGGCTTCTCCCTGGAACTTGAGGGAGAGCTGCGGCAGCTCCCTGGCAGGGGAGGGTCCCAACGCATTGTGACCTCTGGTGGAGATGCTGTTCTGGTGTCACTAACAAGAGGCTCCCTGGGACTTGCAGCTGGTGATACATCCACCCGAAACCTGACTTTTTCCCCCTTCCCCTGCTCCCCAATTCTCTCCCTGGGAAGCTCTGTTCTCCACAGTGAGGGGCTTAGAGGACTAAGGGATTTTCTCCAGTGTGAGACAGCTTCACATATAACCTATCATTTTGTTTTGTTTCATTTAGAGAGGGAGGGAAGAAGGGGGAGAGAGAGTGTGTGTGCCTGGTGTGCGGGGAAGGCCGAGGGATGGAGGGAGAGGGAGAGAGAATCTTAAGCAGGCTTCGCACTCAGCACAGAGCCTGTTGTGGGGCTCGATCTCACAACCCTGAGATCATGACTTGAGCCGAAACCCGGGAGTCGGACGTTTAACTGACTGAGCCCCCCAGGCGCCCCTAGACAGATACTTAATAGAAAGGGGGAGCAGTTCCCAAACCTAGGCTGGGCCCTACTCTGGGGGCCAGGATTTACTCTACTTCCTGTGGAGTTTGGCCCCTTCCAGGCCCTAGACCTCTCCAAGGAGACCTCTGCCTCAAGAGCCAAGACCCTTCCTGTCTGGATTCCCTCAGCCCCCAAAGTCCCTTCATTCAATCTTCTGTTTATTCAACAAGTATTTACTGAGCGCCAGGAATTGTCCTCAGCATCAGGGAGACAGCTAAGGACAAACAAACAATTCCTGTCCTTTTGGGGTCAACATTCTGGTTGGAGAGAACAATAAATATGTAAAACATACAGTTCTTTCCGATGGTGAGAGGTACCTTGGAGGAAAACAAGGGCATTAGAAGTGCTGGGTGTGATGGGGGAGGTTGCACTTTTAAGAAGAGGGCCAGGGAAGGCCTCAGGAGAAGGTGATGTTTGAGCCAAGACCAGAGGGGAAGAGGGAAGGACTGGAGGGGGAGGGCTCTTCTGGCAGAGGTGACAGCTGGTAAAAGGCCTTGAGTTGAGTCACACAGGAATGAGGAAGAACAGCAAGGAAGCTGGCATGGCAGAGCAGAGAGAGAGAGAGAGAGAGAGAGAGCGCAGGCAGATCCTGCAGAGCCTTGAAGGCCACTGTAAGGACTTCGGCTCTTTTCAGACTGAAGTGGGAACCCCGAGGGCTCTGAGCAGAATGACTCAGGCTTTCACAGGACCCCTGGGGCTGTCATGCAGCATTCTGCTAGGTTCAAATGTATCTGACGCGGCCCCTGCAATGCCACTTGCTGACACCTCCCTAGTCCGTCCCCAACGCAGTCCTGGGTTCATTCGGCAGAAACCTCACTGAGCCCCTCTGGGGTGTCAGGACAGGGCTGGGGCTCAGGAGGTGCAGACAGGGAGTCCCCAGTGCTGCCCTGCCCCGTTTAATAAGGAAGACACAGCGACAAACTTGGGATGGTGTCAGCAAGTGAAGGGGGAATGCAGAGTTGGTGGGAAGTGAAAAGTGTGGCTTGGAAAGTGGAGGAAGATGTACAGGAATTAGCCAGGGCCTCCCATGAATTACCTTAAGCAAAAAAAAAGAGAAGAGGAGGGGAGAGGAGGGAAGGGGTGGGTAGGGGAGGAGAGGGGAGGGAAGAGAAAAGAAAAACAAGTAGAAAGAAAAGAAAAAAAGATATTCGTTAGTCACTGGGAAGTCCATGGATTCAGGAGCTGGGGCTCAGACAGTGTTGTCAGGGACCCCCCCCCAAGGGGGATGATGGCCCCCAGCGGCTCCAGGCAGGTAAACTACCAGCTTAGCGCCTTCAGTGAGCCAACACGCTGGCCCAGGGTCAGCCACGTGGCTTTCATTGCTGCCCAGGGCCTGGGAACCTGCTGATTGGTCAGATCTGGGTCATGGACACGGCCCTGGAGCTAGGCAGTGGGGGTGGAGGTGGCGGCGGTCATTTTTATCCAAACCAGGAGACCGAGAGGCAACACAGGGAAGGGCAGCGCCCCAACAGAGGGCGGGGGATGCCAAAGAACAGAGACCTACAACACAAGGCCCTTCGGGGAGGTGCCCATGAGCTGGGACTGAGGAGGATGAGCGGGCCTGTGGGGACACAGGCGGCGCAGGAGGAGGGGGGGAGGGCAGAGGGGCATGGAAATGGAGGGTGTGTGCGGAGAACAAGTGTTTGCAGGGCTTGGGGGAGGCAGGAGGGGAGGTGAGGACAGAGTCGGGGAGGGGAAGTGACTGAGGAGTTGGGCCAGGGTCGCCGGCTCAGGTAGGGCCTGGGATGGCATGTGAAGGGGCTAGGACTTACAGAGCAGAGGCCACAGGAGCCAGGAAAGCTTAAGGAAGGGAATGTGCTTCCCTCGTGTTTCTAATGACCCTGACTCCTTGGGGGCTGCCCTTCATCCTTCCCTGGGGCACTGTTGGTTCACTCCGCTTTGTGACTGGGTTTTCCTGAGAGCTAAGGTGTCTGTATCTCCCCTCCAGCCCTGGCCCCGCACCCCTCTCTCTCTCACACCCCACCTATCTTTGATTGTCCTTCTTGCTTGAAGTCCGTTCCACAAAGCTCCTAAGTATATGGGTTTGGGAGTCAGATGGATCAGTGAGTCCTGATCTGGTTGCTTCCCAGCTGTGAGAACACTCTGAAACTTAATCTCTAAAATGGGGATAATTGCAGCTATACCGACTAGGGGTTATTATGAAGATGAGTTGAGAGACTAAAGTCTTTACATAGGGGAGCTGCTCCATAAATGACACCTGTTATTATTACTATTTTATTTCACCATTATTTTTGCTCTTCTGCTCTTAACCACTATGACCCGAATCTGCCCCGATGCATTTTCCAGCGGGACCTGTGGACAGTCAACTTGGCCTCTGAGCCCCTTGGCTGGGTTCCCTTTCAGCTCCAGAGGAACTGAGGAAATGGCAAACAAATTCTGTTTTCACTTGATTGCCTCACATGGCCTGGAGGAAACTTCCTTTCTGGCAGCAAGCTCCAGGAACTGAGGGAGATGGGGCAAAGGGAGGTGAAGACAGGATAGGACCCGGGTACCATCATCTTCCTAGGGTGCTCGTGGATGGTCATGAACAAGAAGCACAGGGCCAGCCAGGGAACCGGAGGGGGTGATTTCCCAGGGGGCAGGGTGGGAGGGATAAGGGTGAGCAGAAATGGGTGCCGAGCCTTCCACCAATGAAACTCTTCCCTCTGCACAAAAATCGCCTAACAGAGATGGGGAGAGGTAGAGGTAGGAGAGAACAGTGCAAAATCATAATATGCCAAGGTTTGGTAATGGGGTGGTTAAGGGTGCGGATTGTGGCGCCAGACGGCCCAGCTTTGAATCTAGGCTCAGCTACTTACTACTTTTGACCTTAGACAAGTCACTTCACCTCTGATGGTCAGTTTGTTCATTCATAAATAATTCAAAAGCCCACCACATGAGCTTATATTAAATTAAATGTGTTATTGCACTTAAAGTGCTCAAAGCAGTGCCTGGTTGAGATACACTCAGTGAGTCTGACTGTAGTATTATGAATGTTCTTGTCAGGTCCAGGGTGGGTGTGGGTGAGATAGGTACTATTAGATTAATCTAGATGCTTCTAGAAATATCTAAGTGTAAGTATGTGAATTAAGAATTAAGAGTAACCTGTAACTGTGCTGCCAGTATGGGGGCTGTTAGCCCCATGTGGCTAGTTTTACATTTTAATTAATTAAAATTAAAATACAATTTTAACATTCAGTCCCTTAATCACATTAGCCCCATTTTAAGTGCTCAGGAGCCACATGTGCTGGTGACTACTCTCTGCCCAGCTCAAGCCTTCCAAGTCTTGCCTCCATCCCCTGAGAATGAAATTCATTAGTCTCTTCATGACCTAAAGAGTTCCATGTGACCTGGCCCCTGCCTACTTCGGCCTCATCATCTCCTCAGGTGGAGGTGGCTCCAGCCATCCTGGCCTCCTTGCTGAAAACACAATGATTAACAGCCTGAACGCTCTTGCTGCATCCGTCACCCACTTGCTGTGTGACCATGAGCAAGTTTCTTAACTTCTCTGAGTCTTGGAGGATGATGCTAAAAATACTATGTTATAGGGTTGTTGTAAGAATGAAATGAGTAGGGACTCCTGGGTGGCTTAGTCGTTAAGCGTCTGCCTTTGGCTCAGGTCATGATCCCAGGGTCCTGGGATCAAGTCCCGCATCAGGCTCCCCGCTCCTGCTTCTCCCTCTGCCTGCCACTCCCCCTACTTGCGCGCTCTCTCTCTCTGACAGATAAATAAAATCTTAAAAAAAAAAGAATTAAATGAGTAAGTGTGTGTAAAGTTCTTAAAACCGGGCCTGGCACTTAATAAGTGTCATATAAGCACTAGCTATTAATATTAATGGTTGTTGTTCAAACATACCAAAAACTGTCTTGCCTCAGGGCCTCTGTTTTTGCTCTTCCCTCCATCTAGAATGTTCTTCTCCCAGATTTTACATGGCTTTCACCCTCGCTTAATTCAGATCTCTGCTCAAATCTTCCCTCTTTGAGAGGCCTTAACCGACTACCCTATTTAACACAGAACTCCTCCATTATTTTCAATCCACTTTCCTGGCTTTTTTAAATGACATCTTTCACCACCTGAAGTTATATATATATATTTATTTATTGTCTGCCTTTTTCTACTAGAATATCAGGTCCTTGACAACACCACTGTATTGCCAGCTCCAAGAACGCTGTTTGGCATGTTGTAGATGCCGAATAAATAAGTTTTTGAATGATTGGAGGGGTGGATGCATGGATGGTTGGGTAAGTGTGTGAATGGGTACGTAAGGGATGGAATCAGAGACTGGTGGATGAATGGATGTATTTGTGGGTAGATGCACCAATAAACGGATGGTGAATTAAAGAGTATATAATGGACAAATGGATGGATGAATATGTGGTAGATGGAGCAAATGGTTGGACGGAGGAGGGGATGATGGAGGGATGGATGGATAGATTGATTAATAAATAGATGGGTGAATAGATGGAGTAAATGGATGGGTAGATGGATGACAAATGATGGTTGGATGCATGAATGCATGCATGGGTTAGATGGATGGCTGCACCAGTGGATGGAGTGGATGGATGGATGGAGGGAGGGATGAAGGAGAGATGGAAGAAGAATGAAGTGGATGGCTGGATGGTGGATGAATGGATCGATGCATGAAAGCATGCATGAGTAGATGGGTGAGTGAATGAATGGATGGAGTGGGTGGGTGAATGAATGAAGTGGATGGATGGAGGGATGAAAGATGGATAGATCAATAAGTGAGAGGATGGTGGATGAATGGACAGGTGAATAGGTGGAGTAGCTGGATGGATAGATGAGGGGTTGACAGACGGAGGGGAAGTTCATGGATGGATGCTCTGGCGAGGAACCATCCTGAACTCTGCTCTTGTCACTTTTGTTTTCCAGGCCGTCCCCAACTGCTCCTGCCCCTGTGTGCCTCTGTGTCTTTGCTGGGTGGCCTGACCTTCGGTTATGAACTGGCAGTCGTATCAGGTGCCCTGCTGCCCCTGCAGCTTGACTTCGGGCTTTCCTGCTTGGAGCAGGAGCTCCTGGTGGGCAGCCTGCTCCTGGGGGCTCTCCTTGCCTCCCTGGTGGGGGGCGTCCTCATCGACCAGTATGGCAGAAAACAAGCCATCCTCGGCAGCAATGTGGTGCTTCTGGCAGGCAGCCTGAGCCTTAGCCTGGCTGGCTCCCTGGCCTGGCTTGTCCTGGGCCGCTTGGTGGCTGGCTTTGCCATCTCCCTCTCCTCCATGGCCTGCTGTATTTATGTGTCAGAGCTGGTGGAGCCCCGGCAGCGGGGAGTGCTGGTGTCCCTCTATGAGGCCGGCATCACCCTGGGCATCCTGCTCTCCTATGCACTCAACTACGCATTAGCTGGTGCCCCCGGGGGATGGCGGCATATGTTCGGCTGGGCCGCGGTACCTGCTCTTCTGCAGTCCCTCAGCCTCTTCTGTCTCCCTGCTGGGACCACTGAGGCGGCAGCCCGCAGGGACCTCATTCCTCTCCAGGGAGGTGAGGCCACCAAGCTGGGGAGGCCAAGATACTCCCTGCTGGACCTCTTTAGGGCCCGGGATAACATGCGAGGCCGGACCATGGTGGGGCTAGGGCTGGTGATTTTCCAGCAACTAACGGGGCAGCCCAACGTGCTGTGCTATGCTTCTACCATATTCCACTCAGTCGGCTTCCGTGGGGGCTCCTCAGCTGTGCTGGCCTCAGTGGGACTCGGCGCCGTGAAGGTGGTGTCCACCCTGACGGCCCTGGGGCTGGTGGACCGAGCAGGCCGCAGGGCCCTGTTACTGGCTGGCTGTGCCCTCATGGCCCTGTCGGTCAGCGGCATCGGGCTCGTCAGCTTCGCCGCGCCCATGGACTCCAGCCCAAGTTGCCTGGCCGTGCCCAACGCCAGCAGGCCGGCAGGCCTCCCTGGAGACTCGAGCCTGCCAGGGGCCGTCGTAAGTCCACCTCCACTGCCAGTGACCAGTGAGAACCAAGGGAAGCCAGTCCCCCCAACCTCTATGAAAATCAAGCCCCATCCCAAAGCTGGGAACCGCACAGCTCCTCCCCTGCCGGCCTTAGGCACCGCCGCCCCTGCGCCCCCTTCTGCCCCCGAGCACGCCCTGCAGCACTGGACCGCGCTGGTCTGCATGATGGTCTTTGTGAGCGCCTTCTCCTTTGGATTTGGACCAGGTAGGTGGGAGGTCTCTGGCAGGAAACTCAGCAGCCTCTACCCCACCCAGCGGAAGGGGTGGGGACCCTGCCAGTCAGGGTCTCAGAGGGACACTAGAGGGGGCCTGACCGCAAAGCCAATGAAGCTTACGCTTTTAGGGCTCCTTGCCTACTTGCGGGCACTCCTTCCGAGGGCCTAATTTTCTGTTTGTAGTTTTTTTCTTACAGAGGGCCCCAAATTATTTAAGCTTCTGGCCTCATAAAACCTGAATTTGCCCCTGGATAGATCACTCAAAGGGTTTACTCGAAAAGGGTTCTTGGGGCACCTGGGTGGCTCAGTCGGTTAGGCGCCTGCCTTCGACTCAGGTTCGAGCCCCACATTGGGCTCCCTGCTCGGCGGGGAGCCTGCTTCTCCCTCTGCCTCTGCCTGCCGCTCCCCCTGCTTGTGCTCTCTCTCTCTGTCAAATAAATAAATAAAACCTTAAAGAGAAAGGGTTCTTGCAGCAGTGTGGGGGAGGCAGTGGGAGAACTGGGTGTCAGGGGCCTGAGATTCTGCTTGAGTCACGTCGTTGGGGGGCTGTCCGCTGGACCATGGGTGCCAGGCCCCAGTCCCCGCCCCAGCCCGGGACGTCTCCCTGCTTTCTGTCCTAGTGACCTGGCTTGTCCTCAGCGAGATCTATCCCGTGGCGATCCGAGGCAGAGCCTTCGCCTTCTGCAACAGCTTCAACTGGGCTAGCAACCTCCTTGTCAGCCTCTCCTTCCTCCACCTCATCGGTGAGTTCTCTGACCTAATGCCATAGTCCAGTTCCTTCTAGATCCAGGAACAGCTGCCTGGGGTGAGCTCTTGGCTCAGCAAGATTGCCTGCCCATCCCCGGCTGGAAGGCTGTAAGATTCTGATGCCCAGGCCTGGGACATATACCAGCCCCTGAAGTCAGGGCGGGTGGGGGACAGCTTCACCCAACCATGTGTACAGAGGTGGGGGGGATGGTTCCTTGAAGGAAAAGTGGGGTGCTAGTATCAGCAAAGGGGAGCGGAGAGGCCAGCAGACAAAGACAAGAGAAGACATGACCTTCGAGGCTTTTACCCTTGGTAATTCCAGGCTCCATCAATGAGTGGGCCCAGGAGGTGAGGCTGAAGGAGGGGAAGAGCCTCCATCTGGAAGCTGGCTCTGATTGGTGTGGTAGGGGAGCGGACAAACTACCGGTGGGGGGATGGGGGAGTCTGGAGGCCTGAGTGTGGAGCCATTTTCTTCATTGCAGCCCGAAGGCCCTCGCATTAAAGCAGGGGAGTTTTTGAAAATTTCCTTCTTGTAGCCGAAGAACTCTTCTGTAAATAAAACTCTGTGCAGAATGTTAAATTCTCCAGGCCTGATAGCAGGTCTACACCCACACTAGTGAGAATGTATCTGAGACCAGTCGGTACCTGAGTGGCCACCTTTTTTATTCTAAACCGGCTCCAATAGGCTCGTGCCCACCTGCCGGCAGGAAGGTTTTCTCATGTCTAGTTTGGTGACACTCTCTCTTCCTACCTGGCATTCGAACCCCATTTGAGCCATGGTGGGGTGCAGTGGGAATTATCTGGGCCCAGAACACCGGAAAGGGTCTCTGAGTTGCTGAGATGCTCCTGGTCCAAGGAGCCAAGGTGGGAGGGGCTCCTTCCCTGTGAGCCCCAAGGCACAGTTCTTAGGGCTCAGTTATTTTCCTATTTTCTGCAGCCAAGTGTTTCCTCCTCAAAGGCACAGCCCCTGGGAAAGGCTGGTAGAAGAACATGTGCACTGTGCCTGTCTCCAGCCCCACCCCCACCCCACCCCTCCCACCCCCCCCCCCCCCCCTTGTGTGAGGATTAAGTGGAGGCCCAGCTGGTCAGGGGAGGATGCTCAGAGGTCATGATCTCTAGAGGTGAGAATGGCTGGGGAGTGGTCTGGAAGTCAGACACAGGCTGCATGGGCTGAAACTCCATTCCCTGGATGCTCAGTTCATTCACCCAATAACCAGTTTGTAGAATTTCAGAGGATGTTTTTTGTTTGGGGGCTGGGCTTGGCCAAGGCTGTGTCCTGCAACTACTTTGCTGCGGAAGTGAATGCCATTTCCTCTCCATTCATGTTTTCAGATTATGACCTCACTCCTCTGGGGAGTGTTTTAGATGTGGGTGAGCGGGGTTTCCCATACCGACCTGATGCCCGTGTCTGTGTTTGCGGGTCCGGGCCCCGGCCCTTTGCCTGCCTCTGGGATAACCAGTCCAGCTCCCACTTTAAGGCACTTATCTGACAGCTTGTTGTTTTAATTTTGCACATCAAACATCTGGAGAATGTGCTTTTGAGTGAACTGATTTGCAGCGCCCCTGCCCACGCTCCCGCCTTCCTGTTCCCAGGCACCATCGGCTTGTCCTGGACCTTCCTGCTCTACGGGCTGACGGCTGTCCTCGGCCTGGGCTTCATCTATGCATTTGTCCCTGAAACAAAAGGCCAGTCTTTGGCAGAGATAGACCAGCAGTTCCAGAAGAGACGGTAAGAGGACACAGGGCTAGGCTGGGCCTCAGGAAGGACTCACGTCAAATCCTGAGCAAATGAGTTCAGGATTTACCTGCGTACTTTCTCTTTGCAAGAGAGTGTTTTTCTCCTTGTCCTGATTCCCTTAGTGCCTGGACACCATCGGTTTTGTTCTTGTCTTTGTACAGGAGCTGTTTTCCTGGAGTTGTTTGTGTCTTCCTACAGCAGAGTTTCATTTAACTTTAAGGCCCAGCTCATGGGAATTTTAAAACCATGCAGTTATGGAATCACATGAGGTCAGAGCAGCAGAATCTTAGAGTCATGGAAGCTTAGAGAAAATGGTATAACTCTGGCCTTTTAAAGTCACACACAGAACTGTGGGCTTAATCTACTCATTCAGCAGGTGTTTATTAAGTCCCTACTACATGCCAGGCCATGTCTGGACCTTAGGAAACGTGGCCGAGTGAGACGGGCAAGGTCCTTGTCCTCACGGAGCTTCCATTCTGGAGGAGAAGGGGGACAGAAAATAAACAAGCCAACAAATGCAGCAACAAGAGCATTTTGGCTAGTGATACGTATCGGAGGAAAAGGAAACAGAAGGAAGTGTGTTGAGAAGGCCTGACTGGCAGAGCGGGGGACCGAGGGGCAGGGAGTTGTGGGTGGTTAGAGAGAGGAGGCCTCTCTAAGGAGGTGCAATTTAAGTTCGTGAGAAGGAGACAGCCATGTAAAGACGAGGGAGAGGAGCATTCCAGGTAAAGAGAACAACCGGTGCAAAAGCCCTGAGGTTGGGAGTGTATCCGGCATATGCAAGGAAGCACAAGGAAGCCAGTGTGGCTGGAATAGAGGGAGGGAGGGTGGCAGGAGGGGTAGACGATCAGCTCAGCCAAGCTGGTAGGAGCTCGATCAGGTGAGGTCTTTAGATCATAGAGAGGAGTGGAGAATCTTAGCATCATGGGGACTTGCGCCTTTCAAATAAGAGAAGAGAGGAATAGGAGCAGCAGAAAGGCCCTAAAAACACTACCATCCTACATATCCTTGGCAAATGCCCCTGGTTACTTCTTGTAGTAAAGGGAATCATCAGCACCTGACCGTCCGTTCTATTCCTGGGAGGCCCTAAAGGACTAAAAAAAAAAAATAAATCATCTACGAGGGAGTCGGAACTCGCCTCCTGCAGCTGCCTGCCAAGCCCCAGCCCAACACAGCCCCTGAAGGGACGCAGAACTGGTCCAGTGTAAAAGCCTTCAACCTGCTCCACTCGACCCCAGAGGGTGGCTCTGCCAGTGGAGCACCCCCAGTGTGTTGGCTGTCCCCTCTGCAGGCCCCTCAGTGGCCCAACCCTGTTGGTTAGGAAATAGATCTGGCTGCTCAGAATAGTCCGGATGTAGGGCACCAGGGCTGGGGTGGCAGCTGTGCTTCGAGAGGTCATCCAGGGTCCCACGCTCCTTCTCTCCAGTTGCTCTGCCGTCTCTTCGATAATTATTTTTCCCGCATGGCCTATGCGGGTGAGCCACCAGGGGCCTGCGAGAGGGGAGGGAGAGAGGGTAGACACAGCCTGAAAGATGCACAAGTCATTCCCACCCGCATCCTTTGGACAGAACCTGGCTATACCTACATGGGGGGCGGGGGAGGCTAAGAAACGGGCTTTCACCTGGGGAGCCATGTGCCCAGCTAAAAATCAAGGGTACTGTAACTAGGCTTAAGGGGGGGATACAGATACTAGGAGCCACCTGGAATCTCTGCCATCCTGGCTTTCTTGGGAGAATATTCCAGAACCCCTCCTCTGGGAGAGGCGCTAAGGAGGCAGAAAGGCAGTTAGAAGCCAGCTTTGGGGTAAAGCAGGATGTAATTGCAGCCAAGGGGAGTGTCAAGCTGGACCTGGGGACTTGGGGTCGCATGGTGGGGCCTGGGCCAGGCTGTGGGGCAAGGAAGCTGAGTCTGCCATGACTTGAGGAGGAGACAGAAAGTTAGGGGGCTTTGCCAGGGTCTGGCAGTCATCACTTCAGTCCCTATAGTTCAGATATGAGTCCCTGACATCAGAGGCCACAGAGACCCGCCTCCCCCGCTCACTCTCTGCTTGACAGGTTCGCCCTGAGTTTTGGCCACAGGCAGAGCTCCACCAGCGTCCCGTACACCCGCATCGAGGTCTCTGCCACCTCCTGAGGAGTCCATCTGCCTGGAAGATGCTGGAACCATGGCTTTAGCAGACAGTCTCCAGCTTCCTGCTTGCCTGGCCCCTGCAGCACGAGGTCTCGGAGGTCCTGTAAGTCATCCCTGCTCCAGGAGAGGTCTTTCGGGCCCGGGTGAAAGAGCAGAAAGTTTGAGAACCCAGAAGTCTTCATTTTGAATCTCAGGCTCTGAGGTGCCCTGAGGACCTGCCTTCTCGCCTCAGTTTCCCCGTTGTCTCTGCACGTCCCTGCAGCACTTACAATGGCAACATCTCATGGAGCCTGTTGCTTTCTCAGAGAACATCTCGGGTACCAGCCCTGGAAGGAAGTCTTCTCTGGCATCACTCCCAAACCCAGATGAGGATACTATATTCTCTGCTCTCTTTTCCCATCTGGCTGGGACTTTCTGGTGAGGGGAAGCCTGCTTTTGTCATTCACCAGCAACTCAGACTGGTGGAGAAGATGCTTGAGTTCCAGGCCTGCTCCTCTGGTGTCGTGGCGGTATGGCCATAGGCCTCAGTTTTCCCCATATGTACAATGGGCGACCTGGACCAAGGAGTTCTTAAGATCACTTCCGATATCAATGAGCTAGAATTCTAAGTGCTGCTAATACAGTGCGTATTCAGCATGGGCCCTGCTCTCAGGTAGCTGGCCATCTCTTTAGGGAATGCCAGTTTTAATTAGGGGAACAGTAAACAGAATTCCAGAATCGTGGGGAATAAAATCCAAGAGCTGCCACGGTGCATGAAGCCAGCTCCAGGCGCTGTTTCCAGGGTGGTGCAGGAGAGCTTTGCAGAACGGAGGTGGGTTTGGAGGCCGACAAGCCCAGCTGTTGGTGTTGCCTGTCTCCTGGCCGCTGTTGACCTTGTCAACAACCTGTGACTAACAGCTGTCCCTAGCCTCAGTTCCCACACCTGCAGAATGGGAATGATTAGGCACCTGGGGGTGTGCTTAACCCCTGTCTTCCTGCAGGAGGGTCTTCAGCTGGTCCCATTCAGCTAGTCAGGGCCTGAGGGGGCGGTTTCTGCTCACCCTCAGTTACCCAGGTCCCCATCTTTGGGACATTGTTAAGGGTCAGCCCCCGACGGGTGAGTCAGATGGAGACTGAGCAAGGAGCTCAGGCCAGAAGTCACCAGAGGAAGGGCCTGGCAAGAGTGAGTTGCTGGATGCTGAGGAAAATGAAGGGCTAAAGCAGACCCAGGGAGCTGGTGTGGGACAACACTTCGTCATCTGTGCCTGCTGCATGCCCACAGGACTCTGGCCTCTCATCTTCTCTCCCCCCGTTCTAGATGCTTCCCTTGTACCCAGTGGTGTGCGGGAGGTCCCTCCTACTACCTTGTGAGAGCCCATTGTTAAGTTTTCGGGACTTTTGCCAACTGGTTGTTAAACACAGCCTTTTAAAGATATTAAATTATTGAATATTTCAATAAATTATATTAAAAGCAAACGGTAATAAATACTAAAACCTCATCACTTCCTTATTTTGCTACATTTCACTATCATGGGTGCTCTTGAGGCTACTTGCCTATAGTGTGTCTTATGAGAGACACGGGAGATCCTGATTCTGCGTACAAGGCATCATGCCCATGGGGGGTGACTTGGCAGCACAGGGATGGGGGAGCGCCTCAAGGCAGGGCTGGACTTATTGTTTCCTTGATGTTCCAGCCTTAAGAATGTGGTGGATCAAATGTTAATAATGCAAATTAACCTTGTGAGTGTGTCTGTGGTGTCTGTAGCTGAGACATGGCGAGTGGCACTAAAACTTGAGGGAATAATCTTTCACTTTTGAACGCTATTACCCAATGCAGCAAACAAGTTGCCCCCATCATCGATGAAGGCATTCTGACCTACATCTTCCTTGTTTTACTTTCGTCTGACTCATTAATGTCAACAAAAAATTTCCACCCACGTTCATGTCGAAACTTCACTCGCTCTGCAGAGACTGGATGGGATCTTTTGCCGAGTCGTATTGCTGTCCAGCATTTATTCCTAGTCTGATTTTGTCAAGTCGTGGCGAAATTGCAGTGATAGTTGGTTTTGGATACAAGAATTTGGCAAAAAACAACAACAACAACAACAAAAAACCAACAAAATCCATCTGTGAGAATGAATTGGCTTATATAGAATTTATAAAGAATATTTACAACAGTGTGTTATCATTTATAAATTTGTACATTTTGTGTAATAAACACATAAAATCTATACACACGCGCGCGCGCGCGTGCACACACACACACACACACACACACACACACTTGTTCTCCTGGAGAACAGTGGTTCAACACTTCCCAGCACACCACTCCTTTTATTTGTCCTTATGGTGCCTTCAGATCCAAATCTGTCTGCAAAGAGCCCCAGGCCTCTCTCAGTTCCCCTCCTATCAGCCTAGAGAATGCTTAGACTAGTCTTAGATGGGTCAGGATCATAAACTCAGCGGTCAGACAGGGAATGGAAGTGATGGGAACCCTGTGCTAAGACGGCAAGGAGGAGTGAGGTCTGTGGACACAGGCAAACAGGCCCTCTCTAAAAGGGGAAGCTCACCAATTCCAGCTGGTGCCTGCCATGTAGGAGTATGGGCTCATCCGTGGCCTGACCATCTGTGTTTTCAAGAAAATCCAGAAATTCAGACCTTGGTGCAAAATTTCCCGATTTTTTAATAGTGGCAATTGGTTCTTAAGTGAAAAATAGCTTTTAAGCTCAACAGAACACGCCTGTGGCTAAATCATGGCCTTCTGTTTGTGGCTCAGCTCTTGAAAGCTTTCCCTCTGAGACACTCCTCTTCTCTGGATTCTTGAGGCTCTCAGCTTAATCACTGTAAAGAGTCATGGCTTTGGAAATCAATGCCAAGAATATTGAGTAGCCAAGCATCGTGAATGGAATAAGTCGGAGGGGGGTGTTATTGAACATGGAGGAAGGCATCATGGAGGGAAGAAATGGTTCATGTGGCAAACATATAGAACTGGCACAATTAGGTGTGGGGCTTGGGTAATGGCTCATCTGTGTATCAGGGATGATACTATTAACTATTTAGAGATGACATATATCAATCACTAGTTCCAAGCTGGGCCCGTTGGTGCTCACCAGTGGTTCAGTCCCAGCAGCCTCCAGGAGCACCTGGCTCTGGGTGAAGAGGATGGGGAAGGCAAGAACCAGGTAGCCATTCATAATGGGTGGGGGGGGCATCAGAGAAATCTAAAAATGTGCAGTACCTACTAGGTGCTCAGCAGTCTTTAGCACTAACCAGAAAAGACACATGATCTGTTCCATGATCTGCAGGGCGGGTGGTGGGAAGCTCCTCTCTTCCAGATAATCTCAGAATCACTTCCGGAAAGCACTTCCGAAACCCCAGCATTATGTGTAGCCTTCTCATATGTGTGTCCATCACAGAGTACCTTCCTGTCATTTGCCAAATGGCACTACACAGACTACTTACTGAATACTTTTCTTTAAAGTGATTTGCTTTTCAGGACACCTGGGTGGCTCAGTTAAGCGTCTGCCTTCGGCTCGGGTCATAATCCCAGCGTCCTGGGATCAAGTCCCGTGTTGGGCTCCCTGCTCCGCGGGGAGCCTGCTTCTCTCTCTGCCTGCTATTCCCCCTGCGTGTGCGCGCGTGCTCTCTGGCATATAAGTGAATAAAATCTTTTAAAAAAAATAAAGTGATTTGCCTTTCAACTTAAATGCGTTTTAAGAGGAAATTTTATTAATTTATTTTTCCAGTCAAATGTAAACTTAGTGAATTCTACTGTGTGTGAGGCACTGTTCCAGACCCTGGGGCCACAGCGGTGAACAAGACAAGGAGCTGTCCTCACAGAGCCCACATTCCGGTGGGGGGAGTTACATGAGAGATAAGAAATGAGAGAGAGAAGGAAGAAGGAAGGGAGGAGGGAGGAAGGAAAAGTAGATGGATGGATGGATGGTTGCATGTCAGGTAGTGAGGAGCACTAAGAAGAAGTAAGGGGTGGATGGTGATGCTTGCATACTGTTTTAGCTAGGAGAGTCAGAGACAGCCTCTTTGAAGTGGTGGCATCTGAACAGAGACCTGCATGAAGGACTAGAGTGAGCCATGGAAAGATCTGGGGCGGGGGGGCGGGGGCGCTGGATGGCTCAGTCTGTTAAGCAACCGACTCTTGGAGGGTTTCAGCTCAGGTCATGATCTCTCTAAAATAAATAAATCTTGAAAAAGAAAGAAAGAAAGATCTGGGGGATGAGCATCCCAGGCAGCTGGCCCAGCATGTGCAAAGGCCCTGAGGTAAGACTGAGCTTTCCATATTGGAGGGACCTCAAGGAGTAAGTGAAGGGTAGAGCAATGGTAGGGGAGGAGGAAGAGGTCAGCAGGGGTTGGATCATGAAGACCTTCCCGACCATAGAAAGCATTTCGGACCCTTCCTTCCTTCCTCTTTCTTTCTCTTTCTTTCTTCCTTCCTTCCTTCCTTCTTTCCTTCCTTCCTTCCTTCCTTCCTTCCTTCCTGCCTGCCTTTCTTTCTTTCTTTCTTTCTTTCTTTCTTTCTTTCTTTCTTTCTTCTTTCTTTCTTTCTTTCTTTCTTTCTTTCTTTCTTTCTTTTCTTCTTTCTCTTTCCTTTTTTTCTTTTCTTTCTTTCTTCTTTTGATTTTATTTTTAAGTAATCTCTCCGCCTAAGGTGGGGCTCAAATTCACAACGCCAAGATCAAGAGTCTCATGCTCTGCTGACTGAGCCAGCCAGGCGCCCCCATTTTTTCTAAATGCACTGGGAAGCCACGGGAGGATTTTGAACAGTGGATTGACATGATCTGACTTAATGCTATAAAATACTTCTTGTTGGTGAAGTTGGTGACTACAGAAAATGAGTATCAATTACAGAAATAAGAAGAAATCATAAAAATACTATGAAGGCAACATGATTTCACTCAACTCTGACTAAATACTCTTATCTACTGAGGGCACTGACCTTAAGGCCTCCTCTGTGATGTAAAACGGAGCTTAGCAAGTGTGAGAGAGGCATTCACGACAAAATAGCACCAACCTAAGACCTTTTCTTTGTCTGGCTTGGAAGAACAATGATGTGATGCAACATACT